GGATGACTTCGGTGGTCCATTAAAGCATGGATTTATTTTAGCGGTGATGACAGTACCTGTTTGGGAATCAATAGCACTGAAAGGGTTACTCAGACAAAGGAAAGTTAAATCCTATCTACCAAGCAAAAAGCAACCGGCTCACATCTCCTGTTGGGAATTATCGGTCATTAAGAGCGAGGTTCTTTCTCTGCCTACAGCTGCTGAGAGGCCTAAACTTGGGACACAGGAAACGCAGTGCTTTGCTGAGGCCTGGACAATCTTGGCATTAAACTTTGGCAAAGAGACAAATAATAAAAATTAGAATTTTAACCTTCACATATGTTCCCATTAGACACCGTGTCTTACATTCACAGCAGTGCATTTCCTTACAGAACCCTCTAATGCATTTCCAAACCTTATATCTCTTTTCAAAAGTCCATCTGTGATTAGATATTCTCACTCCTGCCGTTAGGTAACATATAGATTATGGCCGAGTCCCCCCGTGACCGTAACGGCAATTTCAAAGAGAGTGGAACGCATCTAGATCAAACCTTATATTAATAGAAATATAGGTGCAAACGTGTATTCTAACTCGTAATGTTACAAACAACTTAATTGGACACTTCAAGCTCTATCACCGCTTCAGCTCACTGTACAAATTATTGCAGTAGTTATGATAATTACATTAAGTTTTGGGTGCACTCCTTTATTTTTTTGTCAAACTCAGACACACAGGGTTATTCACTTAAGTGAAAATGTCAATGAATTCAAAGTGAATTTTACATTCAAAGGAACACTATAGGCACCCAGACCACTTCAGCTCATTGTAGTGGTCTGGGTGCAGTGTCCCAAGTCCCTTAACCCAGCAATGGTAATTATTGCAATTTTTAATAAACTGCAATAATTACCTTGGAGGGTTAACTTCACCTCTAGAGGCTGTCTACCTGACAGACGCTACAGGGACTTCTGGGTCGTTAGGAGACTTTTGGTTGCCTGACGCTGGACGTCCTCAATCTATGCGTGAGGATATCCAGCGTCACCTGAAACCCCATAGGAAAGCATTGTACAATGATTTCCTACGGGGAAAGTCCTAAAGCGAGCATGGCCATTGCCGCGCATGCTCATTAGGTCTCCCCCGCCAGCTGTTGGTGGGGGAGGAGTAGAGGCGGAGCTCGAGCCAGTGCCAAGGGATATTGGTGCTGGACTCAGGTAAGTGACAGAAGGGTTTTTTCTGGGAGGGAGTGGGGTGCTATAAGAAGCTATAGTTCCAGTAAAACAACTTTGTTTTCCTGGCCCTATAGTTTCCCTTTAAGGCCAAAATAGTCAGAATAAAAAACAGAACTGATGTTTTCTAATTCAGTTACTTTGGCCAAACGTTTGCAATGCAATTTGAATTCACTATGACTTTACAGCAAATCTCATTTTAGTAAATTACTCTGCTTGTCCCACTTTGTCGCACCATAGAAATTATGACCCTTCCTGATTAATAAGGGACCCTGGCAGTTTGGAAAATTAATCATTTGTAATTCACCACCCATAGCCTCAATATATACCCCATGCATAATGCATCCATTAAAAAAAAGGAAAGGCCTATTAGAGGGTTACTCCAACCAAAAAACAGTGTTTTCATAAATTACTGGTTTTGTTTGTAGCACCCTCTTCTGTACTGGTACACACTCCGAAAAGACAAAAAAATGTTTAAATCGACCTCTTTTCCTTCACCGAGGTTCTCCTTCAGCCCAATTTGACATTAGCCATAGAATTGACATTAGCCAGCCTAGAACGTTGTTCTGGAGGTGGTTACACTTCCACCAGAGAAGGGGTTAATCTCCGTATCTGCAGAGTTTCAAAGCGAAACGCTCCACATAAAGACTCCTGGCACCATGAACACTTCAAATCACTAAGTGGTAATGGTGCTTGAAGTATCCATGTAAGAACAGAAATTATATTTTGAGGTTTACTTACGTGTATGTATACACAAGGCTGGCATACATAGGCATACCTATGCTACGTTTCTACCTGTGACTGGAAGTGAAGTGGCTCATTTTATTATGTAACTTCCAGTCTTTTTTGTATACGGAACTTACTCTTGTCTGATACCTGCTTGTTGCAGAGAGCTGAGCGTGGCCATGTATACAATATTGCAGGATACCACACGTGGCATTATGGTAATGGCCAGGTGGCCGGGCAGCCACTACAAATGCAATACCTTTATATCCTAAATAGCATCATTTTCTCAATACAAATCGCATTCCCAGAAGATTATTTATTACATTAGATACTTATCTAAAGTGTGAACTGTTGAGAATTCAGAGAGATTTTTAAATCTTTGTGGCCAATTTTGTTTAACTGAAAACAGAGTTGACCGATCTTTGGTGGCCTACAATTTAAGAAATTCAATTTGAGTTTGATTATCCACAAATTAAACCCTGTGGTGACAATAACATGTATATCTATATTTACATTACTGGTGCAGTTTAAAAAAACGGTCAAAGCACCATAACCACTTAATCTAACACAGTTATTTGCTAAACTGTAAATTTTAACAAATCTAAACCGAATTATAAATCATACTGATAGACTGAGGGTGCTGGGGCGGACTAAAAGCGCTATATAAATAATAAAATAATAATAAGGGAAAAAAATCTATCATGGAAGGATAGAATATTTTCCCATCTGATATTTTGTCTTCGATAAAGATGTTTTAACATCTATATCTAATAGACCCCTATGTTTCTCTGTTGGACGTGCAGTCAGTTATTACAGATGGAATTCTACAAAGCCCTCTGTCTATGACAGGGAGATGAGCGCCATCTCCTGGACACAGTTGCATGTAGCTCATGTTCTCACCCTGTCTCTGGAAGTGATAACTTTTGTCTATGACAAGAATCCTGATGGGCTTTGATCTACCCCTAATGGGGGCATTTAGCGAGGAGGTGTGACAGTATACTAATAATGAGATTCATTGAGGCTCACATGGGGGAAGACGTGTTTGTTTGCAGTTTTAATAGTGATCACAATATAAACCCAAACACCCTATTAGGTTTTTATTAACCCATTAAGACCCTTTGAGATTGGCCCACCAAGTTGTACATTATATGTACCTCTTAGTCAGTGCAGTTAATTGAACAAAGGCTCTGATTTACTTATTGTTTTTGTTTGTTTTGTTTTGTTTTTTTGTTTTTTAAATATACAGAACTGGGAAAGAAAAAATTGTGAACATAAAATATTTTTATATATATATTAAACATGCTATTTTAGATCATGATACATATATTAAAATAGGTTATTTTGTATCACAGCCTTTACAAAACACTGCCCAGCTGAATGTACTGTACTGACAATCAATATATATGTAAAATATAAAGAAAGAGAAATTAACCATAAAATGAGTCAATTGAATATTCTGAAATGCATGCCACTGTGTAATTGTTTGAAGTTACAAAAAGACCACAAATGTCTAACTGGGCAAATGGGGCAACTACTTGGGTTTTATGTACCAAACAGTGAATTGGACTGAATCGAAAATCTAATATCAAATTTTTGCATCAAATAGTAATTATAACCGAGTTAAATAATTTTTTTACCAAAATTTTCAATTTTTTTTTTAATTTACTGCAAACTACAGTTTAGTTAATAACCCCCACTGTGTACACTGCATGTATACAAGTTACATGTATGACGTTTGTGTAAGGTTTATATTCTGTATTCATTACAGTTTTCTGAAAATACTGTCATTATTTTGCCGATACTAATTTACTAGCTCAGATTTTTCTTCCGACAGCTGCAGAAAATATCATTAAATTACTGAATAACCCCCTTAATAAACTAGGATTGGCAAACCAATATGTCATGTAGGCAGTTCTGATATGTCAATGGCACTGATGGGGTTAAACTGTTCTGTTTGTTATTATTGTTGTTTTGTGTTCGATTTTTTTTTTTTTTTTTTAGATAGATAGATATTCCAATGTTGAATATTACTGTTTGAAATGCGAGTGTAAAAGTGAGACATTAAACCTTTTTTTGTAACAAACACATTATCAATATTTTGTATAGTAAGTTTCATCCGACCACAAATTGTTCTGTGTGAAATATACATATATATATATATTTTTTTTTTTTTACAAATACCTAATTTTATTGCTGAATTTATTTTGACAGTCAAATATAGTTATATCAAATTAAAACACATTTTGAAATAAATATATATATTCTTTGTAAGATTATAACTCCCACCAAACTGCAGTTCCTACAATTCAAATAATTTAATTCAATTATATAAGAAAATAGTATTCTAATGTGATCTTACAGTGAGCAACTATGATCACGGTTTATTATGCACTAGAAGTATCTAACATTATAGGAATAGGTTGTTCTTTTCATCAAATTTACACATTTTATAAAATGTGGATGTTTAATAGTGTAGTATAATATGTTAATAATTCAAGGATACATTAAGATACAAACTTGTATATAATAAGATATATTTCATTATAATGACACATTCAGCGTGTAAAAATAAAGTTATATCTATGTATACTTTAAACGCTATTTAAACATTTAAACATTTTTTTAATTAGTGAAATCGGATTTTAAATATTACATTAATTTGAATGTGGGTTTACAGAGTGGCCGATGTATGTTTGTCTTGAAAGAGTCTAATTTTATATTAAATTTAATTTTATACAAATACATTTTTTCTCACAGATACATTTTTTTAAAATTTTTTTTTTTTTTTAGAAAAATGCAATAGCCACATAACTAATTTAATCAAAACAAACAGCACAAAACCCGTTATTTTTAAACATGTATTGAAGGGGATAAATGGTTATTAATTATAAAATGTAATGGCATAACATAAACAAGTCTTTACATTTACTTTTAAGAATACTGACACATATAAACAATTATATTTGCCTTTTTTGGAAGGGTGAGGGTTGCTTGAAAAAAAATTTTTTTACACTAAAAAATATAACCAGTTTAGAAAAAATATATATATTTAAAAAATATATAATGGTATTTTCAAAGATTAGGCAAAAGAAGGGGGAGAGAAAAACCTAGCTATAGATTCATTTAAAATCCATTTTTTGTTTTAGGATTAGAAGTAACGAATTGTCCAGCTGCACACAGAGCTCTTATAACCAGGAGAACAAGTCAGACACCAGAAGAATGTACATAAAAATCAAATATTTACTGTTCAATCTCCTTTTTCTGGGGAAAAGAAAACTGCATATCTCCACTGAGGAAAAAAAAAATGATGTGTGATTCATGAATAAGTTGATAAATAACGAATCAAATGAAAATAACAATGAGAATAAAGCAGATCTCAGTTCCCCCCACCCCAGCCTCACCACATGCACATGAGAAACTAGATGATTTGCCCATTGCAACTTTACCCAGGGGATATGATCCTTCAACTAGTCAGGGGGGAGATTTATTACACTAGGGGGACAACACCCACTCCCTTGTCTCCTGACACTGATTGGTCTGTAAAAGTAATGGGACAGGGCAGGGGGTGCCCCCCTCTCCACACTTCTCCTATAAGTACTGGCTGTTTTGACAAGCATCAGGTGTTCTGAGTGTATGCAGCTCAGAGGCTTATATCATCCCTTTACTGTATCCTCCACACTGCAGTATTTATCATTGTGGGACAAATTACTGCTGGACACATCCTGGAGCCCACATCTTGTGCATGAAGTGTAGGCTCAGCAGTTTTTTTTATTTTTGTGCAATTAATTTATTTCCTATTATTTATCTATTTTTTACACATTTTACTTTCTTTTATTATTTTTTTTTCTGGTCCCATGGACTTACTCACTCATCCTCTCAGGGAGATGGAAATTACCGAGAATTCCCTGTGTTCCTTCTCAGCAGCAGATGACTTTTATGATGACCCCTGTTTCAATACTTCAGATATGCACTTCTTTGAGGACCTGGACACTAGGCTGGTCCATGTCAGCTTGCTCAAGCCAGATGAACACCATCACCACAACGAGGAGGAGCATGTCAGGGCCCCTAGTGGGCATCACCAAGCTGGGAGATGTCTTCTCTGGGCTTGTAAAGCCTGCAAGAGAAAGACCACCAATGCTGACCGCAGGAAGGCAGCGACCATGAGAGAAAGAAGGAGGCTGAGCAAAGTCAATGAGGCTTTTGAGACCTTGAAGAGATGTACCTCCACCAACCCCAACCAAAGACTACCCAAGGTGGAGATTCTGAGGAATGCCATTCGCTACATTGAGAGTCTCCAATCTCTGCTCAGGGATCAGGATGATAACTATTACCCTGTTCTGGAGCATTACAGTGGGGATTCTGATGCCTCCAGCCCAAGATCCAATTCTTCAGATGGCATGGTAAGTTGAGTGGGCCACTTTCAGTTCACCACAAATGGGACCGCATGTTACTTGATAAAATATCATCCTTCACCATTTAAACAGGCTACATTGTAAAACACTTTTATTATAAACTCACAGGGAAAGTAAAATATTTTGTGAGGGGTACATTTGGAATAAGGAATCCAACCTCACACCAAATTTCACAATATGGAGATTAGTTCTGAGAAACAATTCTAATGTAAAGTTGTAAAACTGGAGCAGTCTCCATAGAAACAATGGAATGCACAGTCATAATATTTCATTCTCTCTTAGAACCTCTGAAGTGACCAGTCACTAAATATAATCCCTGTACTATGTGTTATATGACAGTTTTACAAGATGCTAAGCTATTTTAGTCTAGTGTCTTAAATCTGTCTGGTTCTGAAATGGTTAAAAGGTCTGTCGGGTAATTTTCTCTGCCACATGAAAAAATGCCTTAAAGTACAGATTCCCTGAAGAGTCACTTTTCATTTAAACTCCTTCCTGATCCCAGGGGTTAAATTCTGCCCCCAACATCCATCTCTCTTCATTCACACTCTGCATTAGGAATGAAAAACTATTCCTCACACATCCAATTAGCAGACAGAAAGGAAATCCAACTTTCATTGAAAATAAACACAGGGAAAAGAAGGCAATTAATTCAAAATAAACTAAATCTGTGTTCATAACAATTTAATTTTAATAGAATAATAATAATAATTTAAAAAGAGATGATAAGAGATATATTGTTTAAAATCTAAATTCCTAACACAAAGCACAATAAGTTACAAAGTTATTATTTATTGAATAATAAACATTCAAAATATTTGTATATCTGATCAATTTTTCGACTCTGCAGTCGAAGTTATTATTTTCTTTAAAAAAAAGAAACATAGATCAATTCAATAAAATATATCAATGCCGAACTCAGACATGGTAAAAACTAAATTTGTAACATAAATCACATTTTTATAATAACTCTGCATTTTACCAATTAAAAAAATATTAGTTTGTTCAATAAATATATCATATGAGTGATCTATATATATTATTTATGTTGTTACTTTAATATGAGGTGAACTCGATGCAGGTCTAATAAAATAGATTTAATTCCTAAAAGCAATATTTTATGGGGTCTATTCGCTTAACAGTGAACTGCAGTAAATTAAAATAGAAAGGATAAATTTTAAACCAAACTAGATAATTTGTAAAACAAAGTCCTCAGTTCAGCTATAGTTACAACTGGGTTTATTCTAAACTTTGATATTGTGTATTTAATACACAGTTTAGTGTATAACCCCTTTTGGTCTTATCTTGGAGTTTGTTTTCTCTGTTACCTGAGATACTGCTGTGACAATTCTTCTTCAGATCTTGATAAATTAATACGAAACGTTGTGATCTGTCAAAGGGTAGGGGGGGCAGCACATGCTCAGCAAGTTTATTGGGAGCTTGTTAAATCAGAGAATAATTGTTTAAATGTTCTGTTTTCCAGATTGATTACTCTGCTCCCCCCTGCCACACCAGGAGAAGAAACAGTTATGACAGAGGGTACTACAATGAAACAGCAAATGGTGAGTGGATATAATTACACCTTAATATTGGCACTGACAGGAGGGGGAGGTGGGGGTGTCACTCAGAACAGTTTGTTGCATTATTGACTGTTATAAAAAAAACAAAAAAAAGCAAAGAAAGATACAAAGACACCAGTACAGAAAGAGACAGATATAAACAGACAGATGAAAAAGAGACCTCAGTAAAAAAATATATCCAAGTTATTTAAGATGGGTGTCTAATAAAGGGGTGTTTTCATTGCAAAATTTAGATCAAATTAGTAAAAGGTTATTTACTAAACTTCAATTTACAGTGATCCAGCAGCCAAATGGCAAACTTTATGCTAAAATATCTGATTTGGAAAAACATGCTTAATTTCTCAACCTTGCTTTTTGTTTGTCAAGGTTTCATGTCATTTCTTTAAAATGCATATTTACCCCCAGATAGTCATCTCTTATATACACCATTTAGGCCTTTTATGGGTCATTTACTAAGGAGTAGATTATAAAAAATAAAATAAAAAAAAGTTTGTCAATTTATGTCAAAACCACAATTAAAGTTTCTTTGGAATTATTTAACCCAAACAGCTAAACGCTCATTAACTCACAGTTAATTATATATTTCCTACCTGTTTTATGTTAAATTTTGTATATATTGTGTATTAATATTGTTTTGGTATTTTATTGTACCCTATTGTATCAATGCAATGTTTTGTGGACCCAGGAGATATTTGAAAATTAGAGAAATCTCAATCTATCTTTCCTGGCAAAATATTTTATAAATAAATACATTTTAAAAATAAATAAATTAGTTACTAATAGTTTTTGGTTGTAACACACTGGTAACGGCATCTATAATATTGGTTATTCCTTCTCAATGGAGCTGTGTTATTAACCCTTTTCTATTGCTTCTCTTTAGATGCCAAACTTGGGAAAAATGCTGTAATCTCTAGTTTAGACTGTCTGTCAAGCATTGTGGAGAGAATTTCAACAGAGAACCCTGCTTGCTCAACACTCCCTGCAGTTGAAAGTGGATCTGAAGGCAGTCCCTGTTCTCCCCTCCAGGGGGAGACATTGAGTGATAGTGGAATCACCATACCATCTCCCAACAACACATGCACACCACTACCCCAGGACAGCAGTAATTCAATATACCAAGTGTTATAACTGGAGGTTTATAAAAAAAACTGCAACATTCTAAAAACCAAAGACTTTAACAAAAGACATTTTTTTCCACTTATGAAGCTTCTTTAAGAATTCCTTCTCTCTGCAAGTGTACAACATTTCATTAGTTCTTACCAAAGCTTATTTATTAATTCGTGACAAGGTTATTTAATATGTTTCTATTGATTTTCCTCTGTAAATAATATTAAAAATGATCTTTTTTTTTGTTGTTGAGGCTTTCAAAATATTTCCAGATTAACACAAAATAGTCCCCCACTAATGTAAACATTAAATAATTTACGTAATTAGTTTGGGGACCACTTATCCATTACCAAGGAAGCATAATTTATAAATAAAATCATTTTAACATCTGTAATATTTTTTTACATCAACGAGATGTAGAAATATCAAAACATAAATCAAAGAATATAGAAAAACACATTTAGCCTTCCATATTTCTCAAGTCCATCCTGGGTTCTTAATAATATTACAAACCAACTTAATGGTAGCAATGTAATTGACTTTGGAAGGCTAAACTGTTAGATTTTAAATATCACTGTTAAATATGGCGATGTTCTAATTACACTGCAATCACGTAAACTGCAGCAAAAATGAACCCATTTAAAGGACACTGCTATTTGAGATGTTTTTAAAACCGAGAGATTTTAAATGTATTTGAGCTGAAATGCCTTCACTGGTAATCCAACCTGTACCTCCGAGATACTGAATTACTAACCAGCTCAACCAAGCAGCACCTTCCAAATGACTGACACGTCTGTTATACACCAAATGATTTATTTAATTCCAGAAGTTATTCTAGTTTTGAGGACAAACAATTGTATCGTTTTGTTTTTTTTATTTTGTTTTATTTATAATATATATTTACGTTCTTTTTCTTTTCTGTTTTTTTTTTTTTAATTATCCGATTGTATTTGTTCCAATCCAATTGGTCTGAAGTCTGGGCCAATTCCTTGAATTTAAAACACTATCCTGACATTCTGAGCTCCCCAGGTCCAAATTGATAATTCAGACATTTTGGAAAGTGTGTTGAAGATAAAAGAACAATGTAATATTTTTTTCCCTAAATTTGTCATGTAGGGTTGTGGACCAGTTTTGTATAATTTTTTTTATATATACTTGTAAATAAGATTTGCCATGCGATGCGAAAGGTCAAATATTTAATGTGGGCTTAGTTTGTTGTGCCAAATGTTAACTTTATATATTTATACTGTGTGAATGCCAAGGATGGTTTCAATAGTATTCTAAATAAAGAATCTTATTTATAAAACGGTGGATGTCTTTCATTCAGCTTCTTAAACGGAAGAGACATTTGGGGTTGAAATACGATCTTGCAACAAATATTTGTTTGCGTTTAATTTTGGTGCCATATTAAGGGCTGTTATAAGTTACATTTTACAAGCGAAGAAAAAAGGCAAACTATAGCGATAAGTTAAAATCAAAGCTACCATTTTATCCAGGTCTAGCCAGAATTTTCATTATGCTTATTATTCTCTGTATTTAACAAACATGTTTGTGAGATCTGACAAGTAACATGAAATGTAGAAATTCACACCGCTGTATTTAGCTCTGTCCTGGAACTGGGCGCCTCCATCTAAGCTCTGTGTCAATCATTATTATAAGCTCTGCTCTTTAGTCAGCACAGAAAGAAAGAGAAACAAAAAAACAATATTTATGTTTCTCTGCCCCCAATGTAATGTGTGCCTTGACTGTGCCAAGACTGAACTGGAATGTGATGCAATTTGCTAAATCTTTAAAGGGGCACTATGGTCACCAGAGAAACTACAGCTTAATGTTGTTGTTTTGGTATGTAGACGGCTGTCTTAAGGCATGGGCACAGTGGGCAGTTGCCCAGGGAACTCATAGGCATAAGGGACCATAGGCTTGCCAACATTTTAGTATATTATATCAGGAGATTTATTTAGAACCTTTAAACCCTTTTTATTAAAATGTTTAGGTGGACTAATCACCTCCGTATTAGCTGTTATCTGCACATGTGATTTTGCTGTTGCGAATACACATTTTATGAAAACACTGTACACATACTAATTGTACATAAGCAAGACAAAATCAACACACAAATATAAGCTTAATTTTATCGATAACTTCCATTTTCATTCCTGTGAGTGGTTATGTAGGCAGGGCCCCAGTGCACTGCTTTGCCAGGGGGCCCATAATGCTGTTTAACCCATTAACGCCGTTACGCCATTCTATGCCGTCCCGCATTAAAAGGGCTTTAAAGCCGTTGCGGCTTTCTATCCCTGGAGGTCCGGTGGACTTACCTCCGCCGCGATCCTCTTCTGGAGGGCTGCCTGAAAGCCCAGGCAGCCCTCCCCCAGCAAATGAGGCCCCCGGGGGCCATGTGATCGCTCTGAAAGAGCAATCACATGGCCCCCTATAGCTGGCTGTGGATCTGAAATGTCAGACAGTCCCCCTGCTGGTGGGAAAGTAAAAAAATATATATTAGACGTGTAAAATTAAAATAGAAATGTATTTATATATATATATAATATATGTGTATCTATTATATATATAATATATATACATATTATATATATGTAACATCATACAAAGTGTATTTTAATATTAATATAAGTACATATATTAGTATTAAAATACACTTAGAATGACGTTACATATATATAATATGTATATCTATTATATATAATAGATATATACACATATATTATATATATATATATACACGTATAATTACAATAATAAATAAATAAAATAATAAAATAAAATATTGAAACAAAATTTAAATTTAAATTATATACTCATATGTAATTTCATTCTAACAGTATTTTGTTAATATATATATATATATATATATATATATATATATATTGGTAACAAAATACAATTAGAATGACATTCTATATATATCTATATATAAAATACAAATAACCGCAAATATATATATATATATATATATATATATATATATATAGATAAATACATATAATTACATAAAATATTACATTAGTATACACGTAGAATTTAAATACCTATAAATGCATATATATTAAAATTCTACATGTATATTTAAGTAATCTTTTAACATAATTATGTGATTTGATTAATTAAAATTTGATTGACATGCCTGACAACACAGGGAGAAAGTGCAGAGAATTTAATTCGCAAGCACTATATTTGACCCTGTAACTCTCCAAGACACCATAAAACCTGAACATAGGGGGTGCTGTTTTACTTGGGAGACTTCGCTGAACTCAAATATTAGTGTTTCAAACTGGTAAATTGTATTACAACGATGATATTTTAAGTAAAAGTGACATTTTTTGCATTTTTTACAAACGATCGACACTTTTATGGACGACATTATTGTTGCTATATGTTTTACTGTTTTAAAACACTAATATTTGTGTTTAGTGAAGTCTCCCGAGAATAACAGTACCCCCCATGTACAGGTTTTATGGGGTTTTGGAAAGTTAAAGAGTCACATATAAGGCTTGCATTTCATTTTTTTGACATTGAAATTTGCCAGATATGTTATGTTGCCTTTGAGAGCATATGGTAGCCCAGGAATGAGAATTACCCCCATGATGGCATACCATTTGCAAAAGTAGACAACCCAAGGTATTGCAAGTGGGGTATGTCCAGTCTTTCTTAGTAGCCACTTAGTCACAAACACTGGCCAAATATTAGTTCTTTGCTTTTTTCACACAAAAGAAATATGCTAACGCTAACTTTGGCCAGTGTTTGTGACATACACTGAACAAAATTATAAACGTAACACTTTTGTTTTTGCCCCCATTTTTCATGAGCTGAACTCAAAGATCTAAGACTTTTTCTATGTACACACAAGGCATTTTATTGTGGCCAGCAAGGCATTTTATTAACCCATTCAGGACAGAGTCAATAGTACACGATCTGATCAAAACAAAACGTAAACAAAAACTGGAATTTGCGCTATATGTCTGTTCAACCGTAATTCACCTCTCTTATATTAAATGCACCCACACTTATTATATATCATTTTGTTCAGGAGCAACAGGGATTTCATTTCATATCAAATATTTATATATGAAACATAATGTATTATGAATAAAATTTTAAAAACTGTGATAAATTTTAAATTTTTAAAAAAAATTTGTAGTTCCACCTCACATTTTAGCTGTAAATGTCATAATACTGTTAGGTTTTACTGCAAAAAAATGCACATATTTGTAATCAGCGATGTCTCACGAGTACAACAGTACCCCCATTAACAGGTTTTATGGTGTTTTGGAAAGTTACAGGGTCAAATATAGAACGTTCCATTTTCAAATTGAAATTTGCCAGATTAGTAATGTTACCTTTGAGACTGTGTGGTAGCCCAGGAATGAGAATTACCCCCATTATGGCATACCATTTGAAAAAGTAGACAAGCCAAGATATTGAAAGTGGGGTATGTTTAGTCTTTTTAGTAGCCACTTAGTCACAAACACTAAATGGGGGGTACTGTTGTGAGACATCGCTGATTACAAATGTGTGCCTTTTTTTGCAGTAAAACCTAACACAATGACATTCACAGCTAAAATGTCAGACAGAAATACAAATTTAAAAAAAATCTAATTTTCTCAAATTTTTTTAAATTTTATTCATAATAAATTATGTTCCATATATGAATAGTTAATGATAAATTAAAGCCCTGTTTCTCCTGAACAAAATGATATATAATAAGTGTGGGTGCACTTTATGTGACAGCGGTGAATTACAGTTGAACAGACATATAGCGCAAATTCCAGTTTTTGTTTACGTTTTGTTTTGATCAGAACGTGCACTATTGACTTCGTCCTGAAGGGGTTAAACGGCCTTTGGTGTTTATAGGTGGTCCCGGCAGGCTTTCAATGTAAACACTGCATATTCAGAGAACAGGCAGTGTTCATATTACTGCCTAGTACTGGGATAGGCAACCTTCGGCACTCCAGATGTTGTGGACTACATCTCCCATAATGCTCTTACACCCATATTGCTGGCAAAGCCTCATCCAAAACATCTGGAGTGCCAAAGGTTGCCTATGCCTGGCCTAGTAACTGCTATAGTGGCAGTCACTCAGATGGCTACTAGAGATGCTATGTATCTCAGTGCACTCATGTTCAGCATCTCCACACTCTGCATTAATTCAGTGCATCTCTATGAGGGGATGCTGATTGGCACAACGTGGCATTTTGCCGTGCATGCGCAATACCCTTTTAATGCTTTCCTACAGGCAGTGGTGGAACTACCACGGTCACAGGGACCTGTCACTCCACGGACTGCGGGTCCCGCTGGCAAAGTAATGTGGCCCTGGCCCGCGCGGTGTAACTGCTGGGACCGCATTGAAGGGGCCCATCATGTGGCCAATGCTGTTAGGGCCACCTGATGCTATGTATTTTTAGGGGGCTCAGTCAGCGCTTTAACAGCACGACCGGGCCCCTTCTGATGATTTCAGAAGCTGGGAGGAAGTGACTGCCCGGGTCACTTCCTCCCAGCAACCACCGGAAGGAAGGAGAGGAGGGAGTCTGAGTACGAACTCTGACTTCCATCAGGCTGAGCCACTGGACCCCACGGAAAGGCATGTGTGTCTGTAGGAATCTCTGTATGTGTGTGTATATATGTCTGTCTGTATGTCTATATGTATGTGTGTGTATGTCTGTCTGTGTGTCTGTATGTATGTCTGTTTGTATGTGTATGTCTGTATGTGTATGTCTGACCCCAGGGTAATTTTCGCTCCGGGGCCCTGTGGTTTGTAGTTACATCTCTGCCTACAGGAAAGCATTGGATTGGCTGAGTACATCAAGTTTAATGATCTCAGCCATGTATGCAAACAGGGGCCTGCTGCAAAAAGACCAGCAGGGCTTGGGAGAAAAGGTGAGTTTAAAAACCCTTTTAAGGCAGGCAAGTGGGGATCTGTCACCTAAACTATGTTTTTACCACTATAGTGTTCCTTTAATATATTATTATTTATATAGCGCCAGTAAATTCCGTAGTGCTGTACAATGGGTATATACATTTAAAAGAAAATGGAGCTTTACAAGAAAAAGGTTAACACTAGACTTGGAGATTCGTTTCACTACAAACTTAAATACATTTTCGCAACGAATTGCAATTAGCGCCGATAGTTTGACGGAGAAGGTCCAGATTTGCAATTTCTGAATCATCATGGAGACTAATTTCAAAACAAACAACCCGAGCAATGGACTAGCATGTTCATTATGGTTCAGGATTCGGTGCTCCACCTGTGGTGCCAATAATAAAAATGATTAATGGGTAAAAATATGATTA